ACTCACTGATAACTGGTCGGGTAATTTCATTTCAGTCGATAACACGACGACAGTTTTTGGCACACCAAGACACGATTCTTTCGGAGACACTGTAGTGTCGTTCTTGACGGTGTTTTATTTGCTGGTCGTTAACATTCTGCTCTTAAATCTTCTTATCGCCATATTCAAGTAAGTGGATAAGTACACTATGAACTTTCTTGCACACAACACGAAACGTTCTATTTTTTATTTCGGATTCATAAAAGCTTTTGTGCTACCTATATAATTGTTTGCTAGGTTAAGTCTTACAAGATGTGCGGCACCTATGTCAGATATATTACGAAAAGTAATTCCTTTCGAAAAGAGTCGAGTTAGGTAATATTTACATGGAGAGAGGTGTGCCCCGGTAAACCAAGTTACCCGGCTAACCGAGATACCCTGGGAAAGCCAACTTTTCATTCGTCTCTTTAGAAAACGCATTGAAGCGTTTACATGCTAGACAGGGTAGCCCGCCTTCCCGGAGCACCCTGTCTACTTGCCAAGGGCACCCTTCTAGGCAACATAGCTTTTTGCCATGTAAACGGTTCGTGCCGGGATAATCCGGCTAGCCGAGGTGAGAAGACCGTGAAAGCAGCGTCATATTCCAGGGCAGCTTTTGACGTCAACTGCCTCTGGTGACTAATCTCAATTAGCAGATTGCAAAATAACAACCCTACATACTGAAAAGCGGCCGCTAGCGAAACGAGCAATTAAAAAATTAAATTTGCCGTCAAAAAGTTTCTTTTGTCCGTCATCTTGTTTGCTGTGCTTAGCGGCTGCTTAAAAGATAGCCCACTGACTATCCCTCTTAGGCGAGTTGCATGTTAAGGTGAGCTATGTTTTAACCCTTTAAGCCGGGTAGCCTGGTTAACTGGGGCATTCTGCCTCCAAGAAAAGAGGGCCTTGGAAAGATTAGCGCTAATTCCAGCTACTGACAATTTACAGCGCTTGGAAAGAATAACAGAAAGTTTACAACTGAAAATCCTCCTTGGCCCAGTTAACGTTGTTCTACTCACGATTAAGGAAACCAAAAATAAGTTTTGACTTACCTTTACATTTACGTTGTTTCACATAATCAAAACACTTCTCTTCACAGTAACACATACGAGAAGATGCAAGCCAATGCAAATCAGATTTGGAAGTATCAGCGGTACTATCTAGTTATGGAGTATGAGCAGAGGCCTGTCTTGGTACCACCTTTCATCATCGTTAATCACGTTTTGTATTTCATGCGGGGCTTGTATCGCTGGCTCAGAAACTGTCGAAGGCAGCGAGACGAAAATGACCAAGACGGTTTTAACTCTGACAAGCCAAGTAAGAATTTATTTGTAAACGGGCAAACTCTAACATTTTTATCATACGTAAAGAGGTGAAGGAAACTAATGGCGCGCTCCATTTGTCAGAACCGGTCGATTCAAATGGTTCGCTAGTTCACAAACTGTCCTAGCTGTCTGGCCGTTTAGTTATGAAAAATGGAAATCTTAAGCTTTGAAATGGAAACTCGTCCTAAAGTGTCTCCTTTAAGGTCTGCAAAGTGGGTGATGGTCATACACAATGGACATCAAGAAATTGTCCCAAGAAGGCCACCATCTTGTATCCGCCATCTTGGATAGCTCGATTTCTCCAAACCTCTGAAAATCGTGTAAATTGACTCGATAATAACCAAAAATCAATCAAAAGAATATTACTTTGGCGTAAAATTGTAGCCATTGTGGCAGCAGACTAAATGGGTTTTTTTTAATCAGAAACGGTTGAAAAAATGAATGTTAATTAACGTGGCTGTCAAATTCGGTTACCATAGAGTTATAAAGTCACGTGAACAATCAACTGTCATACCAAACGGTTGCCAGCTAAAATTCAGAAAAGTTCAAGACGTTTTATGCAGCTTGTATGAAGAAAGTGTCCAATGTTCAAAATCTGCGAGGGCATTTTGTGTGCGTCACCCTCCACCTATCCCTCTAGCCTCCCCCTCCGCCCCAACCCAGACTAAACAAAGCTAATAAAATTGTTTAGGATTCGGCTTTTGAGTTTGCACTTGCGGCTTGTATTTTTATGATATCTTTTGATGTTTTTGTTCACCAGAAGGGGAAAACTACAATGTTGAAATGAAAGTGTTCGAAGAGCGATGCGTTGATGACTACATCAGAGAGAAAGATACACTCCTGCACGCCAGTCAAGAGGAGAAAATCAGGGTCATTGGAGACAGGTATAATAAGCTAGAATTAACGTAATTACAAGCTAGTCATACTCAATACCATCCTATTCCATATCCAATCTAAACCCTTGCGGTCTTATCCCATCCTATCCCATCCCATCCCATCCCATCCCATCCTACCCCTTTAACCGGACAGGGGTCTACAAGTTGGCCGGCAATTTTAGAAACCACATAAATAGTAATTGAATCTAAACCAATAGGGAGATTGAGAATTCGGTTTCCTCTATTCCAGCCACGTCATTTCAAACAATTCATAATCTTGGAGGTTTTAAAATTGGTTCTCTCAATATTACTAGTCTGTATAGGCACATACACGAACTAATAGTCTTTATGACAAAACAAACATTTGATATTCTGGCCGTTAATGAGACTAGGCTAGACAATACAATTTCGGATTCTTTAATACACCTCCCAAATCCAAGTGGAGGTGGTGAATGCGCTTACATCCGAAATTGCATAAATTATAGACGACTCTGGGATCTAGAAAATGAGTCCTTAGAATTATTAGCGCTAGAAATTAACAAACCAAATTCCAAGCCATTTTTGGTACTTTGTTGGTATCGACCACCTCATTCGCCAGTCGAGCATTTTGATGTTTTTGAATCTCTTTTAAAACCGGGCTGAATTAGGTTACTCGGATATCTACATAACTGGCGATATAAATTGTAATCTCCTACAAGACCCTATAGCGACTCGTACACAAAACGACTCATTAATATTATCGAAG